TGGGTACAAAAACCATATGTGGTTGAAACGATTAATCATTGTTTTACAAATAAAGAAGCTAAGGTCCAGGGATTTAAGAACATTAATTAAAACATGGCAAGCCCTCTGGGCTCTTGTTCTTGCTGACTGGGCTGAGGGAAGTTTGAAGTGGGTATTATTAGCATAAGCCAGAAAAAAATGCCAAAACTTTGATTACGAATTGTTTGAAAATTTGGGCATTGAACAGGACAATACATTATTCAAAGATTCTGAAGCAGACTCTCGCATTGCTGTGATGAAGAATGCAGCGTGACTGATGCACTGGGTGGTCTGAGCGACCTTAATCCCAGCAGTGCCGCTCGGTGTGGTCCATGAGCAGCCCGGCTTAAACCATTTGTTGCTGATACACCAGGGAGAGAAGAAGCATATGCAAAGGGTACATCGACTTTATTCCCTGAAGATCACTGGTTCTTTCAGCTGCGTTTTTAGTACAGGTCACAGCAAAACATTCCAGTTGAAACAAGGAGTATTTTGATCCACATTCCACTACAAGATCCTTATTATTACTTTTTTTTTTTTTTTACAGAAAAGAACTTTGAAGCACATTACGTTAGAGTATGGGTGATGTGCAGTGACGTTAAAATATACTTGTTTGAAGCAAGATGGACATGCGATTCCCAGCCCCTTAACGATACTAAAGAGAGCACGATACTAAAGAGGAAACAGACATCAGTTCTAGACCATAATCTAGTACCTTGGTCAGAAAGTTCTGCTACCTACAGTCTTTACCTATGAGTGCAGTCAGGCTCCTTTAATTATAGAAAACAATAACTGAGACCACAAAAATTGAGACAAAAAGATGGCGGCTTTAGCCTTAAAAGGGAGTCTTCATATCATTTGTCTCAATTTCAATCGTTTAAGACCTTTTCATCAGAAGGCAGATTCAAGAGAGGTTGTAAAATATAATCTTTAGTTTGGAGACCTGTGTACTAAGCACAACAAGGAACACTCCATTATTAAATAAAATAAAAAGTCATAAAGATGAAAGAAAGCCCAACTTTCCTGGCCACCATGGAAAACATTGCTAGAGAGTTAAGCTAAGCCTAGACTACAGAGGGCAGAAGATTGGATAACGTTAAGAGAATATTGTAAGACACAGACAATAGTCAATGTAAAATGCAATGTATGCTCTTTATATATTTTAAAAGAAGGAATTTTGACTTTAACCGCTTGCATCACTCCATTTTTAGCCTTTTCTATAGATGAATTTACTGGAAAACCCAAGAGATATAGCTTAAACTTTTTCAAAGTAAATTAGCACGTACTTCAGTTGTCTTTATGAGTTCTTGGTATTTCACCAAAAATGCGCCATCTATATATCATTTCCCCTCCCAAGACTCAGAAACAGAGTAAGAGCATGGAGAAAATTTGTAAAAGTCAGAAGTAGTGGGTGACCAGCACCAAACTGCTCTCTGGATCCAACAGGCAGTTGCAGGTATGAGTTCATAGTGCGCAAGCCAGTTCTTATGGACCTATCTTTTATCACAGTGCGTATCTACAAGGCCTGTTCAAGATCATGCCAGAAAAACACTAGCATAGGAGTGATAGGAATGGATAACTACTAGGGGAGAGAGTTTTTCTTCTTCAGGGATCCAGGCTATGAGAGGCGACATATACCCCAGTAGATGGTCCTAAATCCAGGCAGCTACAGGCAGCACTACATGAACTCAGTGGATTTTGAAAACACAGCACGTAAAGTTGGGAAAGAAAAGAGGTGTTGAGGAACTATAAGGCGGGACATAGGAATTAATTTGATCAAGGCACATAATATGAATATATGAAATTTTCAAATAAAAAAGAGGAAAAAACTAGTATTTGCATATTTATGTCTCATGGTAGTATCAATAGGAGGTCAGAAGGTAAAGTTCATTTAGAATGTGTGCAGCTTCAAACTGTATGAGGTGTGAATGGCCCCTGCCTTAAATAGTATTCTTTAGAGGGATTTTACAGAGGCAACATTTTGGGGGGAAATCCATAAGGGAAATTATGGACAGACAAAAGGGAAAGTTCTAAGTGAGAATGTGACCTCAGCAAAATCTAGCCCCGCCTTGCCCTCACGGAAGACTACTCATACAGAAAACTGTGTCTTCTGAGAGGAGCGGGTGCATTTGTACCCTCATATTAGGCATTGGATACGGGCCATCGGTGGAGAGCAGGAGGGAGATGCATAGTGTGCCCCGCAGTCAGACTGCCCAGCTAAGGGCAATTTCCAATCTGCCCTTCCGGCCTGCATTTACAGCTGAAGGTCTGGGAGGTCCTGTTGCCTGGAGAAGCAGTGTGAAGCAGCATGGCTGCCACTTCCAGCAGGCAGAAAAGCATCCTCCACGGGAAATACCACGTGTCCTGTCACGTTCTCGTCTCTTCTACTGGTTCACTACAAGCAGGCAACTTTCACAAGATTTCCAACAACCTACTTCCTAGGGAAACCCAGAAGACGTTTGCTGTGAGGATCTGAAATCCAGTTGCTACATCTGGTGCCAACGTTACCGTCAATACATTCTCTTCCCTCCTTGTCTTCTATTCTGGACCTCCTCATTTTGGGCTCCCTCTTTCATTACTAGAAGTCTTTCCTGGAGGCTCCGGTACTGTCTCAGGACCATGCTGTAGCAATATCTATGTTCTGCACCACTGGCTCCTCTTTCATGAATTTCTCCAAGCATGCTGTCAGAAAAAGGCAGTGCCAGAGCAAATAAAGATAGTTCAATCTGTGAGGCAAAAACACTAGTAGACAATGTTCTAACTGATATCCAATGCTTCTCCTATCATGATTGCTGTCCCTTACATTTTGCAGTTAGCTAAGTATGGAGCAACCAGTGACCTAAAGGATTTGAGTGTCCCTTTCTCAAAATACAGTGGCTATTTTACTTATAATGATTGGTTCAAACATACCTCCAAGTGTAAAGACCTCCAGGTCTCCTGAAAATTTGTTATATTACTCCAAATTCTGCCCATTTAAAGGTTCTGTTGAGTAGTAATTGTAGGAACCATTTCATATAGAACTATGCTGTAACGAAAGTCCATTTTAGGGTGCTGTCAAAATATGTGTCAACCCTCCCACAAACCACACCTGATTATAGAAATCCTATCATGAAAGTCAAAAATGAGCAACTTGGGAGGCATCTATGGAAAAATGCCGGTGACAGAGGGAGCATGGGATACTTGCTAGTCAGAGGTACTTGGATCTGACAAAGACCAATCCCAATGTATACTTCCATCTTAAAAAAAAAGTGTTCCTGGATATATCTAGAATTCTGATTTGCGGGACACAAATACAAGCTTATGAGGAGGAAAATTATTGTATCATTACATTATCAGCTGGAAAAAAATTTATTTCTTCCAAAGCGTGGCCACATGTCATAAATTGTTTGAGTTATCTACTACAAAGGATAGACTGTGCTATAAGCACTCAGGCTGTGTAACGTGCACTGGGTTTCATTTCAATGGCTTGCCAGACATTGTAAGACAATGGAAGCCACAGTGTCTCAAGTCTTGTAGGATGCATGGCTGAAATCCCTTCTTTGCTCTACAGCCACATTCAAAGATTTCTACAAATATTGCTGCCTCTAAACCCCAAAGGATACTGATCAAGCATTCTGCTTTCATTTTAGCAGTAAGGGTTGAAAGGGCAAAATTCACTTCGGCCGCAAGCAGAATGTTCCAGAATTACTCACATGTCTGCACCTCTTAAAACTTGAACTTTGCATTCTTGACCTCCATCATGTCTCTACTCAGGTTTGGACTGGCTTTGAGACAGTGTCTTAGCTAGTCTTGAACCCATAATCTTTACAACTCTGCTTTTGTCACTGAAGTACTTGAAATCACACACACACATATATCTATATCTATATCTATACCTATACCTATACCTATACCTATACCTATACCTATACCTATACCTATACCTATATCTATATCTATATTTATATCTATGTGGCTATTCAAGTTTTCCTCCTCTCAAGTGCCTTTCTCAGAGCCAGGCAGCCAGAGTGTCCTCTTGCTTTCCAGCTGGTGCAAAGAATATCATGTCGACGGGCCAAGGAGAAGATTTGTGCGACCTCTGAATAATATGAGAAAAAAACTCGACACATTTTGAAAAATATGCCAAAATGTAACTTGAAGAAAACAATTTTACCAAATGAATTATAAAAGCTAAAAATATATTTAAAACCATAGCGACATGTATTTATAATCCTAAGTACTTGGTAGGTCATTTAGTGCTTCACCCTCTTATTTTTTGAAATGAAAATTTAAATTGGTGAGATTAAACAAATTAATAAGTGTTGAAATAAAAATTTCAGCCTGTTTTCTGTTTGAAAAATGGAGGCTCATTTGTGTAAACATTTCTTGACAGATCTAGCATTGTCAATTGGATAAACATATACTCTCTCCTAGAAAAGAATGCAATATGGGAAATTGATTTTTTAACCTATATTTGTCAATGTGATAGAAAGTATCATAATTCTAAACAACTCCTCTAATGGGTAATACCTTCAGAAACATTTCCCAAAGAAAGACATCCTGTGTTGAAAATAAAGTACCCGGCCCCTAATATATAGATGTTTCAGTGCTGAAAACTAAACCAAACAAAACAAAACAGGAAAGAAAAGAAGAATTTGTGAAACTAGAGTCAAGTGAGGCTCAGTCAAGTTAAAGAATCCTTGATGCACAGACACAGATAAAACACAAACCACAGACAGAACAGAGTCTACATTATTATCTGCCATAAATCACACGAACATTACAGCAGGACTCATTTGAGGCCATGGTTTATGTCTCCTTGGGTAGGAAACCCAGCTAATCACTGCTCAAGGAAAGGAACTGAGAATCAAAGAATCAGAACGGGATGTAATACCCAGCTGTAGGAGATCAGGCGAGAATCTCATCCTGTCTTACTTGAAGCATTGTTAAGTCATAGCAACCAGGGTTCAGGATTCAGTAAGACGTGTTATTCTCTCTTGCAGAACCCATGCGACGATAAACGACACAAAGACATCTGGTCCAGGGAGAAAACTTGTGATCACTTACCAAAATTCCTTGTAATTGGGCCTCAGAAAACAGGTAAGGCCAAGCAGTGATGTTTTTTGCCTTGTCATTATGAAGTATTTGTGGCATCACAGTATGGGACTTTGTGACCCACCAAGTTCATTGTTGGACTACTGTACCTCCTTGTGGTAGATCTTTTATCCTACAAGCCCCCCAAAGATCCTGCTGTTGCCATTTATTAGACTTTAACTCTGGATGCTTTAGTCGTGGAGTTTAAATTTGTTTAACATACATATCGAAGTTTTTTTTTTTTTTTTTTTAGGTTAGGTGTCGGCGTTTTCTTGGCTTTTACTTTTTATGGTTTTGCCTAATTCATCCCAGAGTTAAGTCATGAAAAGATGACTCATGATGCAGATTCAGGCAGTGCTACACTGTACATCAGCATCACATTGATTCCTGTTCAGAACTGTGGCTGCTATTGCTCACAAATTACTTTATATGCGTGTTGTTAAAAACGATCATTAAGTATTAATGTGCTGTAGGCTTGTTTTCTGCTATGCCCCAATCTCCCCGGGCTCTTCTCCCTTGATATTTTCTTGTGTACTCAAGGGCAACTGTGTAAGGATGCAGTAAAAGAGAATGAAAGTATTATGCCAAAGAGATGACACTTTCAATTAGAATATTTTATACTTTCCTCAGTGTGTGACAGTTTTATATACTTTGCTTATATCCTGATTAATTAAAGTTTTTATTGAGTTGCTGCTTCTTGAGTTCACTACTTGGACTTGAAGCACCCTCATCAGGGGAGGGCCCGAACAATAACGCAAAACAAACAGCCACAATAAATAAACTGCGATGAAGACATTTGTAATCCATGCAGGTATATCCTTTTAAAGGTTGTGGGCAAAATTTCTATATGACTAGATATTGGTTGTTGAAATATTTTCTTCCCCTAGGAATATACATTGTCCTACAACAGCAAATTAACACATGCAGGATGGAAAGAAAGACAACACATATTTTCAAATAGATCATGTTTTTGTTGTTTAAAAGGTGCATTAATTTCCTGCCAACTCCCTACAGCGCTGACAACTTGAGAATAAATAGCAAAGAAATAAAACATCCCTGTGTTGTAAAATTTTGTTAAAAATTTCATTTAAAGACAGACCCTCTATCATTTGTCAGTGAATATTATTGCTGTTTAGTTATGCTAGAAAACCACAGGTTATTAACTATAAATCTTTTTTCCTCCTTATTATTTGTATTTATCAAACCAATATGTTATACCATTAGATTTTAATATGTGGCCTATCAATGTGACAATGATAAAGCTTCTAGCTGTTTTTTGTTGTTGTTGCTGATATTTTTTTAACTTTCTCAAATGAAATAAGGAATTAAAACAGAGTAATTACACTTCAATATTCATATGGAGTGAATATATTATTAAATTTGAAAATGGTTCTAATGATTTGAAAAATTCAACCACAGGTATTAGCAAGATGTCCACTGCTGTCAAGAGATTGCAAATCTCCTGTAGGGAAATCTCATGTACCTTTTAATTACCCACGCTTGGGGACACTTAAATTTCAGCAACCTAAACATGATACAATCACTTCTTACCATAAATATGAAGTATAAAAATGAGCCTGGAACCCCTCTTTTTAAAGTTATTGTGAAACTAGAAGGAAATGAGATCCCATTTTCACACTACCAAATCCTAGATGGGATCCTATACTGTGATCAGCCTGGTAATGTCAAGGGGCCGACAACAGAGGAGCCTGGGAGTTAAGGCAGCTCATATCACCTCTCCAGTTGCAACTAAGATAGTTCTGCACCCTCACACTTGGAAACAATGTTACCAGTTGAAAGAGTATGTTTCACAGCATCACACTTTGAAGTGCCATTTATTCAGTATTAATTTCTCATAATTTGCCTGGCTTAGTCCAGCACATTAAAAGTAAAGGGTTGCTTGTGTAAAAATAGATTTTCTTGAGTAATACTAAGACAAAAACCCTTTCCTCCAGCTCCACAAATTGCATCAAAGGGATTTCACAACAAGTGGCTGACAAGAATGATAAAAGGAGACAATAAAAATATGAACATTTTGTGGCAGCAGACATAGAATTAATGACTGATTTTAAGAGCATCAAGCCACGGTAGAGTGCATTTTCTCTTTCTTACCCAGGGGTCACTTCACATCTTCTGGAGCCTGATATAGGGTGCAGATCACAAGGATATATCTGGGTGCAATTTCACAGCCAATGAATGGTTTAAAAAAAATCTTTATTCTAAGTGAGGTCATAAAATATCCATTATTGGATATTCAGCAGTAACTGTAAAGCATTCCTTTATCTGTGCCCTGATCCAACCATGTTCAACCCCTAACAGATATTAAGCTATCAATTTTCTCAGTTTTCTTGTCTTATTAGGAACTCCTCAAATCTCTTGCACCCCTCCTTTCTCTTAATCCCCATCATCATGTAATTTGTAAGTCTGAAAACACAGTTCAACAGTCCTCTGTGTTTTATCTCCCCCTCCATCCCGAGTCTAACACTTTTCTCTGGAATGTGTGCCCCTTCTCACATTTTCTCCTTTGTGATCTGTTGTTCTCAGGAGCAAATCAGGTTCATTCTCTGAGACCCCTCTCATAGCTTTACTGACTGCAATTTTTACTGCATTTGAGGGGTTTCTTCTGGCGGGCAGTCAGCTTCTTAGCAGGCTGTTTCACCTCTTAACCACCTTCCTCTTTCTCCTTTACAGATTTATGTTGGTGATTATTTCTTAAATAATTAACATTCAAATAGGTTTTAGATTTGCCTGAGGATTGTTTTCCATTTGAATTCTGTCAAAAAAAAAAAAAAAAACCCAAAAACCCAGCTGTCTTGGGCCCTTTCACTCCACTAGAATGGAAATAAGGGGTATTTTTCCCAGGGTCAGCAGATGTAAGATCCTGTGCTCCACCCCTGCACACCTCTGAAACTACAGTTCTAGACACTCAGCAATGGAAACTCAGACCTGCAAGATTTTACACCTCGAAACTGTAGTTGCTCAGGTCTGAAGAAGAGGTGACCCTTTAAAGTCAGGAGCCATGCACTCTGTAGCCATAGGCCAGTTTCTTAGGTCAGGATGTTTGAACCACTCTGGAACTTCAAAGGCAGCAAGCCTCACTGTTTCAGTGATTTGGCTCTTTGCAGCTTTCTCTTCTCAGGTTATCTTCTCTCCAGTTGCTTTCCACTATTTCCACCATTTTTGTAATTTTCAAAGAATCTGCTGCCAGACATTTTTTGGACCATTTTAGTCACCTTCTGATAACCGAATAATCAAATAGTGGGCTTTCAAAGTCACTAACTCTGAACTGGGGAGCTAGTGTTGTGGTAGCTAAACTTTGAGTTTTACAAACCTCACTAATATCCTCTTGGGTAACTACCTGAACCCTTTCTAGATACTGGTGTCTAGAATTGGAAGCCCAGAATTTTATCTTTATTTTTTTTTTTGTTTGTCTGTTTGTTTTTCTTTGTGGAGTGCGTGTGGGGTGGGTGGGTGTTACTCTGTCAGTCAACACTAGTCTTCATGAAAACAACTAGGCAATGAAAGACAGCTGAGCTGGGGAGTCTGCTCAATTGGTGTGGAGACCCAGCTTCAAGCTTGTTTTCTACTAGAGACTCTCCAGCCACCATGCTATAACTTCTATACTAGAGGCCTAGTAACATCCTTTTCCTGTCTTTGAGACCAACAACCATTCCACATTACCTTTGTAGACTGTTACTTCTTAGGTGTGCTTCACCTATCAGATTGACACATTCTTTCTAGTGTCATCTTTAGAGTCAACATAGTAGTCACAAATTTCTTTTTCTGGCTCTCACTTATTTCTCTTTTAATTTTAATGGATAGTTTTGCTGGGTATAATAGTCTGGGTTGATAGTTGTGATCTATAGGACTAGAAATAGGTCATTGTAGACTTTGTGGTTTTAAAGGTTTATTTTAAATTTTCAAATATTGAGAAAGATTTAAGAAAGTGTGACTACATAGCAGTGCTATTGATTTTCTCTGCTTTTTCTGGCATTTCTTTATCCTATGTCTTCTGTTTATAAAATACAACTTTCTTGTCTTCAAAAGCTTAACCTAGGCGCTTGGAACAAGTTTCACCTGACAGTAAAAACCTCTTTGAGTTGACATCATAATTCAAGTGGACCTCACAGATATCTACAGAATATTTCACCTAAACACTAAAGAATACACATTCTTTTCAGCAACTCATCAAACTTTCTCCAAAATTGAACACATTTTAGGACATTAAACAAATACTAACACATGCAGGAAAACTGAAATAGCAACATGTATTCTATCTTACCACACTGGAATAAAATTAGGTATTAACAGCAATATAAATGATAGAAACATAAACTCATAGAAACCAACCAATATCCTCATGAATATTAGCTGTACTGTTTCAAGTAAGAAATAAACTGAGAGCCGGGCGATGGTGGCACACGCCTTTAATCCCAGCACTCGGGAGGCAGAGGCAGGTGGATCTCTGTGAGTTCGAGACCAGCCTGGTCTACAGAGCTAGTTCCAGGCTAAAAATCAATAAAAATAGAAATAAAAAATTCCAAAGACCCAATGAAATGAAGAGTTGATGCTTTTAAGTGAAATACAATTTTTTTAAAAAAAAATTAGTCAAATTCACCAAAATAAATAGCAGAGGATTCTATTTAATAAAATTTTATTTAAAAAGAAATTGCAAAGAGATACCATTTTTGAAAGCATTGGAAAGTAAGATCTCACTAACCAAACATTTCAAGTCATTGAAAATATTCTTTATCACCTTATAGAACTTGATGACAAAACTCTATTGCTAAAGATGCCACATGCTTAAATCACAGAACATGGAGCAATCAAGCTGGTACTGGCCTGTAAGCTTCATCCATTCTGGTTAGATTTCACAATTCGGAATACTACTATGGATGCTACTGGGGGAGAAACAAAATCATCACTCTTATCCAGCTCTGCATTCTGAGTACTAACAACTAGCCTGGCAAGGCACACGTCCACACTGGATTCGGTAGTAGCATAAACATCCTGGGAGCAAGAAGTTACTTTCTGATAAAAAGTAAGAGCTTCTCCTTGAGATTAAACCCACACCTAGCATCATTCTCTGTATTATGAATCTGTTGCCTAAAAGGCCATGGGACTTACAGAAGAAATCACTACTATTTCTTTGCCAAATGAGAATAGTACTACATTATCTACTAGTGACTTATTATTATACTCATAGAGTAAGAAGCTTTTTATTTTCTGTATGCAAATGAGCATACAGACCTTCAACTTTTTAAGGAGTATAACATGAGGACTGTGGAGTGTGCAGGCCTCAATGAGGCATTTATACCAAATCCTCTTCTACACCCTCTTCTCACAATACTCAGAGATAAGAGGGTGTGGAAGTCCATATACCCAGGAGCACATAGGCAGCACAAACTGGATTTGATGGCCTAAAAAACGAGTATATAAAGTTGGGTGATAAGGGAAGATAGATAAATCTGGGAGGCATGAAAGAGGAGAGGGGTGATGAATAAGATAAAAATACATTGTACAAAATCCTCAAAAAACTAAAAATATTGCCGTTGACAGAGGTTTAGAAACACAGAGGTCTACATTAATTATAAACTGGTTGGTCTATTAGCTCAGGCTTCTTATTAATTCTTAACATCTTCAATTAGCCCATAATTCTTGTCTGTATTAGCCCCGTGGCTTTTATCAGTGAGGAATTCTTCTTTTGCTTCCTCTATGTCTGGGTGATGACTGCAGACTGAGCCTTTCCTCTTCCCAGAATTCTCCTGTTGTGGTTGCCCCACCTATACTTCCTGCCTGGCTACTGGCCAATCAGCACTTTATTAAACCAGTACAAGTGACAAATCTTTAAAGTGCACAAGACCATTGTCCCAAAGCACATTGCAATAAAAAATAGTATTGTTAAAAGGTAAAAATCCTTTTTGGGCCTTTGTGTTGCAACATAAAAAGTGATACATAGAAGAAACAGCTTCCCCACCTAACCTAGTACTGAGATGTAACTTGCTTCCGTCACATAAAAAGAAATAAGTCTCACTTGTGGTCCGATTTTAATCTCACTAATATATGTATGTGTATGGCTTCCAGTACCAACTACAAGCCTTGTGGAGGAATTAATCACAAGCACTGCATTACACAAATTGGGGGCTCTTGGGCAAATTAGTTTGTAAGTGCTTCCTAAACGAGAATAACTTCAGAAAAAGCAGGTGCTTCTAAAGTTAACAAATCCCTGCATTTACACAAGTATAACCCCAGTACTTAAAATCTAGTCTCAAAAAGAAAGAGATGGAAGGAGAAAAAGGAGGGAGGAAGAGAGGGACGATAGTGGAGGGAGGGAGGGAGGGACAAAGGAAGGAAGGAAAGAAAGAAGGAACGAAAGAAGGAAGGAAGGAAAGAAAGAAAGAAAGAAAGAGAGAGAGAGAGAGAGAGAGAGAGAGAGAGAGAGAGAGAGAGAGAGAGAGGAGGAAGGGAGGGAGGAAGGAAGGAAGAAAGAAAACTTCACCCAAGTCCAACTTGCCCAGGCACTAGTTTTCCAAGGCCCATGTGTTCTAGTTTCCTTTCTAGTCCTGTGATAAACAGCATGACCCAAAGAAACTTGCAAGAAAATGGTTTATTTCTTACATGCCCAGATCACAGTCTAGCACTGAGGGAAGTAAAGGCAGGAACTCAAAGCAGAAACCTGGAGTCAAGACCTGAAGAAGAAACCAACGAATGGATGCTGCTTACTAGCTTGCTTCCAAGCTCACATTTATCTATTTCTTAAGCATTACTTCCCAAGACCACCTCCCCAGTGGTAGCTGGGCCCTCCCACATCAAACATTATTTAATAATTTTCCTTAATCTAGCCTGCAAGCCCACCCTGACAGAACTATTCTCTCAGTTGAAGTTCCCACTTTCCAGATGTCTCTAACATGGATCTAACTTTCGTTTTCGTTTTTTTTTTTTTAATTTAAGTTTTCTTAAAAACAAACCAAAAATAAACCTAACCAGTACAGTGTGTGGGTTGCCTTAGAACACTTGTCAAGGAAGAGCTGTCTTGGCTGAGACTTCCTGCATAGGATATATGACACGGGGGTTAGGGTCTTTAACTAATAGCTCAATGGGCAGAATGTTTTTCCTATCATTTTATTTTTTCAAAAGAATAATTAATTAATTAATTAAAGGGTATTTATAAAAAAGATTCAGGAAACTAAAACCTGCAACAATATTTATCATTGCTTAAATATTATGTCATTTTAAGGAATGTTTTGTTCCTTGTTTGATTTAACCTACCAAACTTAATAAGTTTAAAATGCTGTGTGTTTATTACCACCTCCATGCTAAGTGATGGCTCCTTTAAATCTGTTGTTAGTGTTTTTTGCTTCTCAAGCCTCTGTTCAAGGCTTTTATTATCTATGTCCTAGAGCCAAGTACACATGTGAACTTCAAGTTTATTGATGGCAACACATGTGCTTTTCTGATCAAGAATTATGACCAAACATTTTTGTGGCATATAATGAATAACATATTAATATCTATCAAGTATTTTTATCTACTTGAATGAAATTAAATATCAATAATGACTCACCAGGTTTAGGTGCCAAAAAACATAGATTCTCTCTGTTCCTGTGACTCTTTACTCCAAAGGGAAATTGAAACACAGATTTCTGAATTTCTACCTTGGTTGAATTTCTCATTGACTTTACTTTGGCTATGTAGCAACATTAAATCAGACACTTAGATTAATTGGATCACATAGATACATTTGGATTGTTATTAAAATGAAGTACATTTATTTAGTGATAAGGAAACATTGGAAAGAAATGTTCTGCTGGATTTTATGTTTGGTTAAAATATGACATTGATGTTCTAATCTTTTCTTTTACTACCATATAACACGCATCTTCTTTTCTTTGTAATAGGAACAACTGCACTTTATTTATTTCTTCTTATGCATCCTTCCATCATCAGCAATCTCCCTAGCCCAAAAACCTTTGAAGAAGTTCAGTTTTTTAATGGCAACAACTATCACAAGGGGATTGAGTGGTAAGAATAACAACAAAAAATGAACTCCATTATTAACACATGCTCCATCATTGCAGAGCAATTACAGATGTGTGCATGGCATCTGCATAATTACAGAATAAATTTGTTATGCTCAATTCTACCACAGTGAATTAGAAATTAATTTATAATGATGATATGTTTAATCAGTGTTGCTTATAATTTGATTTGGACAGTGCAATAATGATAATATTTTTCTGGTAAGTTAATATGATTGAATAAGGAACAGTGCAGGGTATTTTTCATCAGAATTATTCATAAGAATATTTAAAATTCTCTTTAAGTATACTCTTGTTGTACAGTTTCTCCATTTATTTTATTAAACACATAATTTGTCTCCCCAGTGATGCCTGAGGTTGCTTTATTTTGTACTCTGGGACATGTGTCTTTATTAACTACATGAGCAGTGTATGCTGTATTTCAGTGTAGGCGATATTTGTCATGCAAACTATAATAGAGCTCATCCTAAACCATATCAATTACACTCAGAAACAAAAGAAACATTAATTAGTACTTGATAAATGACAGAAAACACTTAACAGAACAATACTTTCCATAATCTAAAATAGAATAAATTTAATATTGGAGATAGCATTCAGTGTGTTAAAATAAATGTCTGGCTGTATCCTAACTTTCAAAAAAAATTATGATCTTGGATTTGATCTTCCTGTACTTACGTTCACTAGGAATTTAAAGCAAATTTGATTTGGGGAAAATTCCGTTCAGTGCACAATTTTTAACATTTAAAGTTGTGTGTTTCCATAACACATGCCACTTCTAGAATTAAGGTCCAACAAGGGCAATGCCAGTGGGCAGATCTCACTTCGCAACCTGAGTGAAACTGTGTTTATTCTGTATCAGTGATGTTACTACCCTAATTCCTTTTACATTTTAGAACTACGTGCAAATTATTAAAGGAAGAAAAGCAATTTTCTCTTTCTCTGAGCTCCAATGGAACACAAATTTTTAAGCAAGAATACAGATGAGCGTCTTCAGGACTCTTCATTTGGGAAACATAATAACAAATGTCAAAGAGGAAAATAAGTGTCTTCTATGGATTCTTAATTGCTCTCATTATTTTTTTCTAGAGCATTTGAGGGTGAGAGAAGTGATGAGCTGTAAAGAGGGTTACACACATAATTAAAGTCTTGTACTGAATTATCCTCAGAACATATTGATTCCATAATCTACACACAGAGGAGCGTTCTGACAGCATATGGAGGAGTGAACCCATGGAGGCATAGCAGGATCAACTGATGGAAAATAGCCCCCTCATTACTCTAGATAAATTACAATGTGCTGATATTACTGCATATATTACCAAATTTTGTAGAAGTTAAAAAGGAAACAGCTATGCCTTAATCTGTTTGGATTTTTATAGGTGTTTTGACTTACATGTCTTTCTGTCTTGTGAACTTTTATTTAACTTTAAGAACCTTAGCATTCCAATTTGCAAACACACATTTACAGTTGAAAATATCAGTCAGGCAAGATGGAACAATATTGCATTTTACAGGCATAATCTGTAATTTTAGATTTGGTTTGTGACAGCAGAGAATACCAGCTCAAATCCACCATATTATGCCATCATTCATTACGAACTCACTTAATCTAGCTTGCTGTTTCCTTTGCCTTAAATAAGTAATAAGTACATAAGATTCTGGGTTGCTTTCACATCAGAAGTACACAGCATGGTGACTGAGTGATTTTATAGCACACTAATTTGAACTTGATGCAAACAAATGTAAGACCTGTACAAATTCCTCCTATTCAGAGGATGGCAAATAATATTAATAAAAATACTGCCCAGATTAATTAATCATCTCTTCTTACCTGCAGGTATATGGACTTTTTTCCTACACCTTCCAACATTACCAATGATTTTCTATTTGAAAAGAGTGCTAACTACTTCCACTCAGAAGAGGCTCCCAAGAGAGCTGCATCTCTTGTTCCCAAAGCCAAGATCATTACTATTCTCATTGACCCCTCGGACAGGGCATATTCTTGGTACCAGGTATGAATGAAGAAAAATGGTGCGGAGAAATTTCAGGTGTAGTTGATTTTATCATTAAATAAAACCCAAATATACTAAAGGGTCAAATGTAAAAACATCTAAGCCTAAACCAGATATTGTGCCTGTTTGTCTATCTATCTATCTATCTATCTATCTATCTATCTATCTATCTATTATCTATGCATCCATCCATCCATCTATCCATCTATCCATCTATAAACCTAAACCAGAAATTGTGCCTGTCTGTCGATCTATCTATCTATCTATCTATCTATCTATCTATCTATCTATCTATCTATCTATCTATCTATCTATCCATCCATCCATCCATCCATCCATCCATCCATCCATCCATCCATCTATCTATCTATCTATCTATCTATCTATCTATCTATCTATCTATCTATCCATCCTATCCATCTATGTATCCCTTCAGTCAACTATAAAGAGCTAAATATTTAACTCATACAGAATTGGTAAATGAATTTCAAACAGCAAAATCACAAAACTGCAATAAGTAGTTTTATAGTGGTGGCATACATCTTCAATATCAGCACTTAGGAGACAGAAGCAGGTGAATCTCTGTGAGTTCAAAGCCAGTCTGGTGTAGCCAGTCTAGTTAGCTAGCTGTAGGAGAGCCTATAAAGAAACCCTTTCTCAACAAACAGCCAAACAAACAAAAATAAACAAATAAAAGCCTTGATATATTTCCTAAATCATACAAATATTTAAAACATTGGTCTGTCAAAATGTATTTAAACTAATTGTCAGTATCTAAGGAGTCTATCTTTAATTACTTTGTGCTTTAATTTACACATGATCTCCAACTTGTTAAAAGACTAAATACTAGTATCAGTACCAAGTAAGTAAAAGAAACAGAAACCTATACATTAAATATAAGCACTCAACAGTTTATGTAAAAATGGCCAACTTGGAGGTCATAAAATACAAATTAAAGTCATGCCTTGTTAAGAAAGTGACAAGATTTAGCGAAAATCAGAGAATGATGTGGTAACATTTGGAAATTCCCCAAGTCCATTTTTTGGGGGGCCTTGATTTAGGCTTAAGCAGAGGGCAAAGAGATAGAAAAAAGAAATAGAGAGTAGCTAAAGCTATATAGTAGACACTGAAGAGAATATAAAATAGTATGCACATAGAGATAAAAATCAGCAGAGCTTAATGAAGAAGTTTCAAGAATAAATAAAGTTTCTGTCACATTGGGCAGCTGGATGATGAGCCTACATTGACATGCAAGAAGTGCAGGAGAAGGAAACAGAAGCTTGTGGGTGCTAGAAACCAGGTGAGGATGACAGTGAGAATGTTTGAGTTATAGAAATGATCATAATGTGTAGATGCCTACAATATATGTATAATAGAGTCAGTCATACAAACTGTGAAAGGAAATTCCAAACTAGAGACAGGAATTGATGAGTCAGAGCCATGCAGCTTGGGAAACAGAAATAATGAAATCACATCAGACAGAGTTTACTGGTGAAAAATACTCAGAAAGATGAATTGAAGGAACCATTGTGAACATAAAGACTCCAAGGGCAAGAGAAGACAATGCTGCCAAGTACAAGTTGTGACTACAGTGCTGGAGTTACTAAGAAATTAGACAAGTACACAAAATAGGTCTGAATCACTTTAATTGAGCTAATAGATGTGGCAGAAAGTGTGGCCCTTAACAATCGGGTTAAAAGAAGCGAACTATGTGGCTTTGGTCAATTCAAAAGTGTAGAAAAAAAAGCATCATGGTAGCCACTTGCTAAAGACCCACAGATATAACTCTGATGAAAAAAATTAAAACATATGGTTATTACATAGGAGAAGAATTAGCCTTAGAGAAAAAAAAAAAAAAAACTCCATGGTGGTGGTCACATGAATTAAGGCAAAAAGATTCCAAAGAGAAAAGATTAAAGACACAGTAGAAAAACAAATGGATAATCAATTTTGTAATTGATTATAAATGCCGGATGAGACATTTGTGGTAAATTCTTTAAGAAATAGAAATATATTTTGAAAGCATAAAGCTGGATAAGATAATTCGAAAGAAAACACAAAGAATACTGCAAAATGTCATCTTTTGGAAGGGGCGCAGCTATTGCGCACACGAGGTCACATTAGATGTGGCTACCTGCATAAGACCTGCACAGATGAAGGCAGCGATGATTTCAGCATAGACTGGGGAGGGCCTTCGAAAGCTCCACTCCTAGCTGAGACGCTATTGACAGTTGATGGCTTCCAGGGAAGGGAGCGTCATTTCTCTTTAGGAATGCAGCCACTGGTAGGTTGACTATGCTCCAGAGGATGAGTCCGGCACTCACGTGCATATGTGCAACACTAACTGCACTCAGTGGATTAAAAAGATAATGAATATAAAAGAAGACATGGAATTGGAAGGAAAAAGTCAAAGGAGAATGTATGTTGGGAGGTAAGAGGTGGAAAAGAGCAAGGTATGGTGTATATATGTGTAATATTTTGAAAGAATAAAACATATTTTAACTAAAAGCTATAGGAATATTAAAATTAGTTATATACAAGCATTATTACACTTTGATTTTTGTAAAACAAGGAAAAAGTAAAGTAGCCTAAAAACAATCAAAATTGAATAGAAATCAGCAGGGAGATATTTTACAAAGGATTTTCTTTTAAAAAAGATCTACAGTGATCTCATAGTGAGGAATATTCTTATCGACTCTCACATTTATATTTCAGATGATTTTATATTTTGTCTTATAATGATAGCTTATAAGGCAAGGTAATATAAATCCATTTCTTTTAAATACTGGCAGTAATTTATATACAATTTTGTCTTAGTGAGGGTTGCCAATGCTGTGATAAAACACCATGACCAATAGCGACTTGGAGAGGAAAGGATTTATTTTGGCTTATGTTTGCTTCCACAGCACTGTTCATCACTGAAGATCAGGAATGCAAACAGGGCCAGAACCTCATGCAGAGGCCAAAGAGAACTGCTCTACACTGGCCTTCTCAGTCTTTTCTGATAGAACCTAGGATTACAGCCCAGGGATTGCATCACTCACAATGGGCTGAACCCTCCCCTAACAATGATTAACTAAGAAGATGCGCCTCAGTCAGACCTTATGGAGACATTTTTCAGCTGAGGTTCTCTTTTTTCAGAAGACTCTATCCTGTGTCAAGTTGACATCGAACTAGCCAGCACATAATGTATAACATGTAGAAAAGTGAACAAGAATGGCTAAATATTAGAGGATATAGGAAGACTAAATGTCGGCAAGGAGTGTGAGTTATGAAAGAGGATAAAAAGATAATTGTTCTTCTATTTCTAACTCGGTCATGGATTTTTCCGTTTTGGTGGTAGATAAGCACATAAAATATATTCTATACTGAAAGTGTAAAAGCCAATAGGAAGTCCCATTGCTTCAGAATTCCTATTCTAACTGTATAGAAGTCCATTAAGAGGTAAAGACTTTGAGTCTGATTAATTTGGGAGTGTGTGAAGTTTTTTATTTGAACGGCTTTTATAATAAAGTTAACTTTCAATGCTATCAAAATACTGAGATGTAAACTTTAATTAAAATTTTTAAATTCAGGTATTGTGAGAATGCTGAATATGTAATCCATTTAGGATAGACTAAAAAAATGTTCTATATAGATTAAATCACTTGAATAAAATAGAATTACATAACACAGTGCTTATCTGTGACTACTTTCAAAATAAATTCTTTGGATACACAGATTTAAGGGGATTATTTTTTTCTGATAATACTTTTTATTGCCTGTATCGCTGAAGCTAGGGCCCCAATGTGTTCCACATTTCGAAATAATGTAGCCTAATTCTTAGCTAGACCCGTCCTTCCAGTACGGACCGTAAATCTGCAGCTCAGCAGGTGTAAGCCAGAAAGCAGCAGGAATGTCACCTGCCACTGTAATTTCTACCCCACATTTGGATAATGGAACTCACAGAGGAACCAAAGTGCTATTTTTTCCATAAAATATGTTCCTTTGTGGATTTCCGGTCATATTTTTATGCTAATCTTAGTTGCAGGGATATAAAGAAAATTTGACGCTAAACTTATATAAGTCAATAAGAGAAGATTGAGCACACTCTTGTCACTGCTTATAACAGAATTTTAGCCCTGCTGTACTCTATTAATATTCATCCACCACACATTTACAATTTTTTCCCGATTATGGAATCTCTGCATGTTTGGCTGTTTAGACTGATTACGTAATCTGCATGAATTTGACTTGATGCATACAGCAAAATATTAGCTTCACTTATCAGACAGCTGCTTTCCTTTCTTGATCTCTGACCCCTAACTAAATCATCTTTGCTTTCTAGAATAATTTAAATGTAAAGCTTACTTAAAAATAATAATAAAAAAACAGTTATTGCCCTATACCAGGCCCTATATATTGTCATCCTTTCTCTAGGTTAGACTTTTCTCCATATTAACTTTTAGATTTATACAACACCAGTTTATTTATATGTATACACCTCATGCACCTTGTCTTTCCTTGCCTTTTCCACTTCTATTTTCCCTGTTGGTTTGCTTATTCTATGATTATTGAAATTTTTGGCTCAAAAAAAAAAACATTTGGCTCAAAAGCTTTGACCATTTTTAAAGTTTCCTTCATTTGTTAGTCTCAATCATTCCTCTGTTGGCATGGTTCTCACCATTAAGAAATTTCTTAAATATCAGTTAAATGTATGACTTTGTTGTTATCTGTTATTCCATGCCAAGTTTCATTTCCTTGAAGACAATAATTATGCCTCACATCCTTTTTATATTCCAAACTATCGCCCCTTTTGTTGCTGCTCTAGGGATGAGACTAATATCTTTTGAACATCTGCATTATTAAATTTGTCTCTTTAGTTAGGCTCTGATATTTTGCCAAATGATAGTTTTGTGGGAAAGACTCCTAGGCTTTGGTACTGAAAATCAGGAGGGAAATAGTATTTGGTGAAGAGCCAGAGAGAGAGCAAAAGCACTTTGAACATCCTCAACTTGAATAGGACATCTAAGAAATGGTTAGGAATCAGGATCTGAGGTGTCTGTGTTCATAGAATCTGGCACACCGAGAAGCCCCGAGAAGGAGCTGGGAAGACATAGTAGGCCAAGCAATGTGTGAGACCACACCTATCTCAATTCCAGCTTATCAAGCTTAAATTTTATCTCTAACCTGTTTTCATTTATGATCAGACCCTTGTAGGAAATCCGTTCATTCTGTCTCTGCCTTTGACCTACATGTTTTAAAACAAACAAACAAACAAGAAACAAAACCAAATATGTCCGCATATCGCTTGATATTCTGTGAGAGCACACTTCTCAAATGCACAGGTATACACACAAAAAAATTTTTTAAAGAAATTTAATCCTACACTTTGCTTTTCCTTTAAAGCACCAACGATCCCATGAAGATCCAGCTGCCCTGAGGTTCAATTTCTATGAAGTCATCACAACAGGACCTTGGGCCCCCACTGATTTAAAAACGTTACAGAGGAGGTGTCTGGTACCTGGGTGGTATGCAGTGCACATCGAAAGATGGCTGACCTACTTTGCTACTTCACAGGTAATGGTATGAAATTAGGTTTCATTTACCGTGTTATGATTGCATTGCACTGACATGCAGGTAACAGTTTACAATGGAGACAATAAGAACTGCGGATTTTTACATATTTTTACTTTACTAATACCTTTCAGGATAGCTAGATGGCTCTGGAGCACATACATAGGAGACTTTTTTGATGAGTAGTTGGTTTTAAGAAATAAGTTTTTTCAAAAGAAATGTCATTTAATTGAAAATTGAAAATTCTTAACAAATAGTAGAGAAGCCAGTTAGCCAGATACTTTGTAGAAGTATCCACGTGGATTCCTGCAGTTTTTCTGTTATCTGAGAACCTTATTGGGAAAGAAGAAGAGGTTCTTCAACTAGATGACCATAAATAGAAGAGCCTTAGCAGACATGGGATTTGAGAAGAGCACCCTTCAGTTCTTCCTTTCAGCCTCAGGTACAATTTAAGCTCCAAGGGGACAGGTATTCACACTCTCTTTAAGCATCCCCTTGGGCAGGTTTCCCGTTCTCCAGCAGTGACCCGATGTGAGAAAGTCAGGAGCAAACATTTTCCTCTCAGTCGTGGTTTGTAAGAATAGACAGGAGACTTTCACCTTAGTGGTCCCTCTTGAGCCACTGGCCTCAAGGTTAGTGATGGCATTGATTAGACATGATGGCTGACTGGTAACACACTAGAGATGGGAAACCTCTGGGCATACTACAATCCCAAAGCAACAGACATTTGCATTTGCTTCTGGTAAAAATAAACTGAGTTCATGCACCTACACAGCAACAATTTCTATGGAAAATTTCATTTATTACTAGTTAGGAAAGAAGCAAGAAGAGCCATAATTAAATGCATTCTATGTGGTGCATTTTTTTCTTCTCATTCAAAGTGACCTGATTTATTAATGCCATACCAGGTCAAGAGGGGCAGCTTGGTCGATTTAATTCGGTTTTGTTCTTCATAAGTGATTATTTTTGGCTTTGCAGTTGCTAATTATTGATGGACAACAGCTGAGATCTGACCCAGCGACGGTGATGGATGAAGTCCAGAAGTTTCTACGAGTTACACCTCATTATAATTACTCCGAAGCCCTAACGTGAGCTGATTCTCATGCTTGATCTCACTTCCATCACTTGCCACCATAAATTATCACTGGTCTGTATGTATGTAGCATCATTTATACTAGCTATGAGTGTATGCATCATTCTGCTACTCAGACACAAAGAAATATTCTCATTACTCATAAGTTGTCTCTTTATGAATAACAGGAATACTTTATAAAGTAATAGGTATTTTATATTAGGATAGATCTCATTTTTGAGCTTTCCTCCAAGATGAATTTATTTAGATATCGTATATGTGTACTTGGTGTACAGTGTCCTAAAAACTCAAGGCACAAAGGTAAAAATGACTTGTCCTCTCAGAGCAAGTTACAAGCGAAACATGGGTCTGCAATGGCCATGCTGTATTACAAAAAGGACATGAGGAATAGCATATACGTGGCCCTCATCTTGGGAAGACAGAACAAGTCATTTTATAATGGGGTAAATAAGTTAACAAAAAGAAGCACTCCAAGCAGCTGAGACACACTTTAAAAGGGCATGTACTCTACCCATAAAAGGCTCCCCCAAGCTCTGATATAAAGCCTATTAAATTTTAGACGAAATTCTAACAAGCCTGATTATATAATTTCCCAGTTCACAGAAGATTAGACTCAGCAATTAGACAATTATAGAGGGTAATGGAGGGACAGGAAAAGCAGTAATGAGATTGGGTTTTTCCTTATCCGCTAAAACAATCCTAATGAAGTTCTTACCTACACATGGAAATAGCAGTTGCACAAGGCATGCCCCTGTTGATTGAGCAGACAAAGCTTCCCATAATGTGTTTTGCATTAACAGTTATTGATGTTGGCATATCTTGCCCTTCTCAGCATTAGCCTAGGTAATGGTTCTGCCCTTTTTTTTTTTTACTGCAAATAGTTGCTTATGGCTCAATAAACCTATAAAGCCATACTTATGAAGGAGAGTTTATAAACAAGTACAAAATATATGGATTTTAATATATCTCACCTATCACAAAATTTAAGCACTATAGTGATGCTTGGCATAATAAATGAAGTCAAATGTCAGCCAACTCATGTCCTAAAAGTTGTTTAACAATTATTTGAAGAGGTTTTGAATCTTATGTTCACAATTTCATGACTGTTAAAATAAAACCATACAACAATGAATTGATATAACCTAGAGAAAATCAGTCTGTTAGATGTAGCACCTATGAAGTTAGCAATGCAATAAAAGGAACAAGAACCCAAACAGTCAGGGTCACAAAAGTCGTATGCTTAAAAATGACCTTCAGTATTCAGGATGGCTCATTCCGCAGTCTGAACAAAGTTCCGATTTAAAACACTTGCTGTGCAGAACAAGAAAAACCCACAGCTTATTCTGAGACCTTACACTACCCAGAAAGGGAAGATGTTGTCGGCATGGTTCCGGACACCTCAGCTTTGTTACCAACATTGTAGTTTGAGTTCACACAGTTAAATATTCTCATCCCGAGGCAGAAAATACTGTTTAGGGCCATTGGGATGCCGATGTCCCTATCTCATTTCACACAGCAGGCCAAATTGTTTTTCCTCTTGGGAAATTAATGAAAACTAGAGGAAGGCCTGTGATACACAGGGAGCAGATTGGAAAGTTCAGGCTGGAAATGACTCTGTCTTCTCTTATCCATTTGACTACTGATGTATCTGGTTTTAATTGGTAACATGTACAAGTACAACTTGAACAGCATGGATCAGGTCTCTCTAACAATAGGTCAGGAAGGAAACTAAGGAAAATTTCCCTCTTGCCATAAAAGAGATCACATATGTGCAGAAGCAAATTTCAGGTGCAATGGTGTTACAGGAATGGGCCCAGGGCAACAAAATATTTTGCAACTAATTAACTTTACATCCCAGTCAATTATGCTTCATCTTTCTAAAACATCTGCTGAGCCACAAAAATGCAAACCTTTTCCATGTTTTATGCATGGAGCAAGTCCCATAGCGATAAATTTAAATTTTCCCTTCTTATTTGGTACATTCTTTCATTTTTCTTATCTTGTTAGTACTCAACAGAAATTCTCAGACATTTGACTTTACACAAAACAAGCCACACATTCTTCCCTTTGTAACTAAGTTGCAAGCATAGTAATAAAATAGCACTAGAGTTTCTGTCAGCGTCTAGGGATCTGATTGGGTCAAAGCTACAGCCCTGCTTCTCTTCCAGGTCCTAGAGTCAAGGATAGTATCTACAAGCAGGCTTCTTCCAAAGTCCAATTTATCTGCAACTGGCTGTAACCGCAGGTGTCAAGATGCTTTGTAGGAAGGTTGGCATGTGCCAGGCACTGTCTGTGAAATCCCTCCTGCTCTTGTCCTTTATTTGTCTTTTACAAAATGGAATTGCTGCTTGGAACACTGGTGTGTGGCTGATCAGTCTGACTGGACACTGCAGTAGACATATTCTTGTTCTTCACTGACTTAGTGGGACTGTTTGGAGCTGTAAAATACCATTTCTCTGTGTGTGCGTGTACGTGTGCATGTGTGTGTGTGTGTGTGTGTGTGTGTGTGTGTTTGCTGGCTTGATTAACATAGCAACAACAGGAAATGACAAAGGAAATATAAATTTTGAAGTTTTAACCCCAAATTCTACCTGGCTGACTGGTTGTGCTGATAGTGGGCACCGGTGTTCTCCACATGCTTGAGAAACTAGGCAGTGAACTGGAGAGGTGTCAGACATGTTGATGGCAATGGTTTCTTCTTCAGATTGGCCAAGATCTTGGATATTTGACCCACAAAGAACTAGAAAGAGCCTCTCATTAACAGCAAGCAGGCTGTTCCTTTGCTGAGAAAGCAAAAGAAACATTTCTGATTATGACCTTGTTCACTTTCCACGGTTTTAATTAAGTTAATTCTCCCATTTAACAAAAGAAGTAGTGCCTGGAAAATTATACTAGCAACAGCAGAATTGTGTGGTCTACCCTTTTGTTTCTTGAAACGGTTTGTTTTCATCGACGGAAACATTTGAAACCCATGGCATCCTCTGAGCCTTGATGGTCCCGAAGATCAACCACACTCAAGTTTTCAGCACTGGCAACCATGGCTTCTAAGCACTTTTACCTAAAACAAAAAAACAAAAACAAAACCCGTGAGTCACTATAGTGTCAGCCACATGGCAGAGCTCAATCTACAACTGTCTGTAATTTATATATTACACTGTTTTCTGTACTGCGTTTCCACTGGAAACTCCCAAGGATTATGACACTGATAAAGCTGTAACACCTAATGTGCTGAAGATCACATAGAAAATCCAAGTCCCCCCTTGGTTTTCTTGTTTTTGTTTTGTTGGGGTTTTTTTTGTTTGTCTTTTTAGGAAAGTCATAGTGTGGTGAGAGTATGAATATGAATTATAAACTTAGTCTGTTAGACTCTAGTAAGCACAGCGATGTATTCTTCAGAAAAGGGTGGTTTAATGCTTGAATTTTATAAGTGCAAAGAGGTGGTATCAGAAACACACCAACGTCTGACTCAGGTACTCTGCCTCGGCATAGAATGGATTTCAGCGATTCCAGGTGCGTTCCTCCACACCCTTGACATGCTCTTTTAATGATTAGTTCCAGGAACTGTGTTTTGGAACAGGTTACTATTAGCGCAGTGTTCCACCCAGAAAAATGCATACTGATTTTCTTAAAATAGCTGTGTCATGAAACTTCTCATTATCACCACGGCAAGGTGTCAGATCTATACAGATTTAAATGTGGTATCTGGCCAGTCTGAAGGTTAGACATCTCGAGCTGCGTGGCAAGTGACAGCTAGAGAGTTAAGTACAGATACTGCTATGAGATTCGCCGACAGAAACACCGGCCTTCAACAACAGGCAAGAAGAGGGCTACATTCCACTTACCAGCTAGAGTGCCTATGTCTCGTATCTGACGACATTATGATGTCTTCACATTTAAAATGTTTACACATTTTTAAAATTTTTACAAGACATAGCTATACATTTAAACAAAGATTATCCTTAAGTAGGAAAAGTTCATTCTTTCTAAGCACAATGCGATATAATTGAATATTTTAATTTTTTTAATTATGAAAAATCTCCAAGTTCACTTGAAATACCATAAAAACAGATTAATCCTAATTTGCTCCCTTCTTATTTATTTTTGAAAGTTTAAAAATGTAACTATAGAATAGAATACAGCATTTGCTTTTCAAATTAGAAGGCTTAATTATAATTATACTCAGAATAGTATACTTACATGAAATTTGAACCCATTAATGAAACCCATTAAATGATTTCAGAGAACTCCTTTTAATATATTTTAACATGGAAATCACATGTCATATACAAACAAAGTATCCAAAGGCCCTTTATATGTAAGCTGTAAGCTTTAATATTTAATCCTTTGCTTTTTTTTTTTACAGATTCATAGCTAAAGCATAGAACCTAAGAGTTTCAATATAAAATTGTGCTGCAGGTCTTTGAACATTTTCTCTTACAGTAAAACTACTTGAAAGCATATAGTATAATATAGCATTTTTAATATCTCTTATCATTTCTTAAATCAGCAGAACATTTGTCTAAATGAATAAAATTAAAGCAATAGGCAAAGAAAAGTGTAGCTCTTTTATCTGACTGGGAAGGCTCTTTACTGAAAATGATGTGCAATTACACATGTTTTATATATTTTAGGTTTGATCCCCAAAAGGGCTTTTGGTGTCAGCTCCTGGAAGGAGGAAAGACCAAATGCCTTGGGAAGAGTAAAGGAAGAAAATACCCACCCATGGATCCAGAGGTAATGTGTGCTTGGTTTGAATTACTTTGGCCAAAATACATTGCTGTTTAAAAACCCGGAAGAAAAACGTGCATCTTTTTTTGCTGATCTGTCTTTGAAATCAATTGTTTTGCATATTTAGAAGCTGTTAGAGAGAGAAAGAACTGATAAATGTCATTAAAATTGTTTCCTGTTGGAATTCAACTTATAACTATACACCAAAATCAACTCTTTCTCACATTTAAAGGCACTTAATAATTGTTTGGTAAGCAATTCTATAAAAAAAAAAAAACAGCAAGTATTACTAACATGTAGTCAGTGTACATTGTTCTAGTTTGACTTTTGTTTCTGTGATAACTATCCTGACAAAAAAGCAACGTTGAGGAGGAAAGGGTTAATTTCGGCTTACAACTTCCAGGTGATGCTACACCACTGAAAGAAGTCAAGGTAGGAACTTGAAGGCAGGAGTTGAAGTAGATATAGTGGAGGAATGGTGCTTACTGGCTTGCTTTCCTTGGCCTGCTCAGCTACCATTCTTCTATGGCCAACATGCCCAGGGTTGTCTTTTCCCACGGTGGGCTGGGCGCCCCGGCATCAATTAGAAGTCAAGAAAATGTTCTGCAGTTGTGTCTACAGGGCAATCAGATGGAGTCAAATTCTCAGTCGAGGTTCTCTCTTATTCAGATGTCTCTAGTTTGGGTGAAGTGGCAAAAACTAACCAGCACGCATCCATCTGGTGCCAATGCAGAAGATAGAAGAATAAAATGGTTACTGAAATTCATTATGGGGTGAATAATTCAGTTAGGGTCATTGGATGAGTTAGTTAGAACAAATTAGTTAGGGTCACTAATTTGTCTAGGCACAAAATAATAATAAGCCACACTCCAAAGACAAAAAATAATGGAAATCATAGTATGTGGAAAGATGAATTATATTAGAAATGGTGGATGGAAACCAGCCAGATAGTCTGAGCATTTCCCCTAAGGCCAGGTAGGCAAGGGCAGTATGCATCCTTCATGTGTTGCCATGGTGATATAAGTGCCAGAAAGTCCTTAATTTACTTTTGAACTCAGTAATTTCTAAAGGGTTTCAGAAATCACTTTAATCTGCCCAAAACATCAGTGTAGCATCCCCACTGCTGTAAACATCTTATTCCCCATTTGAGGTGCACACCATCTGCTTTAAGGGGAGAAACATAATGAAATGCGTGGCGAATGGTCCAAGATGAAATGTAATTGTCCTAAATCCATTTCCACAGTATACACAAAAGTTGCTAGGGGAGTTTTATGAAGAAAGAAATTCATTTGTATTTAAAATGCTGAGAAGAGCTTAGGGGAGTTGGTAGAATTCCTATGCAAGAGGAAAATATGTTTGATCACTATGAATATTTGCACATGAAAGTATTGATTAATTTTATGGGAAACAGAAAAAAACAGAAGAAAGTAACTTTATTGGTTAGTTTTATGAAGAATATGGTAGGAAGAAAAGCAAGTTAACAATTTTCTATTTTCCAGAAATCCGAATATATATATATATATATATATTCATTAGTACATACGATATATATACATACACACACACATATATACTCATTCATTCATCAATTTATCTAGGGTCTGAAATGATAACTCATTGAGTAACAGCACTGTTGCAACTCCAGCAAAGCCCCAACCTATCCAATATCTTATTCTAGCCTTTGCAGGTACCTATGTGAATATACACAGAAACACACACATTTACACACACACACATAAAGTTGAAGTAATCTTGAGGATCAAACTCTTCAGGTTTATTTGGCATTTAAAAATATAACGAGGCAGCCTAACTCTTAAGAGATATTGTTTATAATAGTTTATAAAGAGAGAATTGCTGAATAAAACTTTCAAATATATGGTATAGCCAGTTATATGTATAATCGGTAATTTTACTCTGTAGGCGGAGACGGTTTGCTCATTTCTCAACTGCTCAGACCCAAATAAAAATGCAGAAACTATATAAACTACACGGTTTGGTCAATAGTTTAGGTGTATTCCTACCTATCTCTTATATCTTAAATTGAGCCATTTATTTTGTGTATCGTCACGAGTCTGTGGTTTATTGGAAAGATTCCAGCAACAGCATCTTTCTTCTTTGGCAGCTAGATGGTATCTCCTTGACGTCACTTACTCCCTTTCCATATCTCAGTTCAGATTTCTTGCCTGCTTTACTCTGCTCAGCCATTGGCCGGAACAGCTTTATTCATTAACCAATCAAAGTAACACATACAGAAAGACATCCCACATCATTACTCCATTATAGACAGATATGATTTTTAAAATGTTCAGTATAAGGAATAATTTTTAAATGAAATTTGTATATTTTATCATTCTTGTTCCAATACATTTGATTGAGCATCAATACAATTTCAATCTCTGCTATTATGCTTCAATATTTTTCTCAAAAATATTTTACATCTCAAAATCTTTAAGTGCCATAAGGGCAGTTTGTTCTCCCGGGGCACACTTGTACATCTTTATTTTATATCTATGATTTAGTCAGAATTTCTCAATGTGTAAATGAGTGATTAAAAAAAATAGTAAAGAAACAATTTGCAGATACATACTGGAATAGGGTTTTTCTAAAGTGTAGATACTTAATGAGCTAAGAGTGTTCTTTAAGTCATCTTTTTTGTTTCCAGGCCAGAACCTTCCTCTCCAATTACTACCGGGACCACAACGTGGAGCTCTCGAAACTGCTGCACAGGCTGGGGCAGCCCCTGCCCTCGTGGCTCAGACAGGAGCTGCAGAAAGTGAGATAGCACCAGTGGGGAGAATGGGGCCCAGAGTCACTGTAAAGCAGAAAAGGCAAACCGCACAACTTTATCCTTTTCATATGCTTGTCAAGAGAGGACTGTGAATAAATCCCCTTCAATATCTCTCATAAAATGAAAACATATGCACGCATTGGCAATTATTAGCATTAATCCTTACGTAAGGCTTTTGGAAACAAAACATGGGGTTTGTGGCACTATCCAGTTCCTCTAGTCTGGGGATCATCGTGCAGCCTAATTTCTCTGTTAGCTAGCTTTCTGGACATCACATGACTACTAATGTTCTGACTATATGCAAATTGTCAATTAAAAATTTGAGGAAAAGATAAGAACTGCAGTGTCTATAAATGAAGTCAGATCTAACCCACTGTCTGAATTAAGGGCTAATGTTTATAAGTATCATTTATCGGGTTCTGTTGGTCCATCTTCCCCTTGTAAGGTGGGGAGAGACCATGTTCATTGAGAGTTCCAGTTAATCACAAGGGCATGCCATCCTCAGAAAACTCCAACATGGTCTCTCAAGAGCTCCATTAAGACAGAAGTTGTGATTCTGAACCCTGGTTCAGAATCCATGATCTACTACATTACCAAGGTTCCCACCTTGGCAGTGATGTAGCATTTATATATATTTTGTTCGTTATTCTAAAAAGGAAGAAGAAAAGCTTTGTTAACTAGAAATTTAAAGACAAAATTGTATTTGCAGGTCTAAATAGGCATTTTTCCTTCTGTGTAGAAAATATTTCCATATCTTTAAAGCATGATGCTTCATATAGGCAACTACATCTACTATAATAAAGTTTTACTGTCCACTTTTAAATATATCAAAAAGTTAAGTTATATCCCAAAGTTACGTGTGAGAACATCACTGATTCCCTAACTTGAACCCAGTTTCATGGACATAAAACTCACAAGTTAATTTTAAGACAAGAAATGCTATTTTTGTTTTGAGTTACAGCTTCCTATTATATCTGGACTATATAAAATTGTGTTCACCAGAATTTTATCCTGTTTGTCCATGATGATCTATGAAAGTGTTGTTTATCTTTTTAGTGATACACGAAGGTAAAATTTTACCAGAACAGTCGATCAAGGTGACTTGGGAACATTACCCACAATTCTCCCTCCTCCACAGAAATAGTTCCAAAGGTTGTAAATAATACCATCATCCCCATTGTTAGAGAATTTATTCTTGCATCACTTTAATAACAGATGTGTATTTTTTTTTTGGTTTTCAGTGGGGAGATGAATTAGACAAGTGCAATTGTTTATTCCAAAAGAACACTGGTGTCTTTTTGCACATTGAAAATCCAACTTGTCATCTCTATTTCTTTATTTTCTTGTTTTTCTTGACAGTCCTGCCTAAAGTCTCTTGATCTTTATCAGAAAATGTGAACTTTAGTAATATAAATCACAATAATTCCCAGTTTCATTTCTAGTTGTAGGGATTTCATTCTCACCCTGGTTACTTGTGCCAGTGTTTGACACAGTCCCTTAAAATGGAGAAACAATAATGATAATTATTTATTTAAACCACAGTCATTTATTCAACACCTCCCTCCCACTTATATTAGAGCTTCTGCCACCTTCTTTTGTTCTGTATGAGACAGACTATAACTTTTTAACCCAGGCTGTCTTGAAATGTGCAATCCCCCTGCCTCTCCCTCTGGAGCACTGGGATCCCAAATGTGCAATTCTACACCCAGCTCTAATCTTTGTTTTCCTGACCTAGAGGAAAATCTTTCCTGCACAGGGGAGTAAAATAATAGTTAGTAGAATGGAAAGAGGATACTTTCATATCAAATAATATTGATGTAACTCAATAACTTCCAGCTCCTCATCAGATTTGGTCATGAAATGAGTTTTCTGCATTTTCTCACCTTCTAATGATGTATACATATCAGTGCCTCACCCACCAATATCTGAAATCAAAATCTCACCCAGGCATAACCATTCTCTTTCTTTCCTGGTTATTGCGAGCATTATGTGTATTTTTCTTGCTATGTTGGATAATGAAGTGAGCAACTGTATTTAATTATTTAACAAAACTTCTAAAACTTGGAAGGAATCTGCAATATGAGACTCTGCACTGTAACGATCTGTAAATCTCAGCTTTAATAAGATTTTCCTTTTTAAGACGTCTTCCCACCTCAGGATTGGTGTCTCAGAATTCAATAGTGTCATTTTTCAGAATTTTAAATTACATCTTCAGTTTTATGCCACATAAGTTTATTTAAATACTGGAATATTTTTCATGTCCTTTAGCATACAGGCATGGTTTCTTCATTCCTTTCCAGATAGTTCGGGCCTTGCCTGACTTACAAGCATAACTGTCAATTAGCTCATTTCTTAAAGGCAAAAATAATGTTTGTTTCAAATAGTAACTCCTAAAAGTTATTTTATGAAAATTCATCTAAAATAAAATTTAGGTTCTATTTAATAATGACCAAACACAATTTTAAAAGTATGAAGAACGGCATAACTGATCCACTCTCTCTCTCTCTCTCTCTCTCTCTCTCTCTCTCTCTCTCTCTCTCTTTCTCTCTCTCTCTCACACACACACACACACCTTATAGAAGTTTTGTGGAGGGGAGGGGGTTGCCTAAATCTTAGCAAACCAAACTTGTATTCAGGCTTGTGCTGCTTTTTTAATCTTACCGTTTTAAGTAATATAAAATAACCTATATTCTGGACTTATTGATTGATTTATTTTAAATTACAGGCAGCACAAGTATTTATAGAGAAATAATATCCAAGTGTTCTCTTTGTGGTGGTGGCAGAAAATGCGATTTGCTTGAGGAGGCAGATGGGCTCAAAAATAACCCTGACCGGGACTTTTATGGAGTAGACTATGGAATCTAGTAGTCTGGGAATAAGAGATGTGTTTTTTCTAAATCAACTTTAAAAACACAGTACTGCCAGAAAACTATATACATACTTCAAAATAAGCAAATATCTGTAAATGTGTTGTGTCTTAGAAACCTAAAGAGTTTTTGGTCTCACAAACAATTTTATTCGTTAGCATGTGAGATACATGGGATAAGCAGAGCAAAAAACGCGACATTGACTGAAATGAAACTGTTAAAATAGCTGTTGTCACCCTAGCATAAAGGACCATGGCTGTCTCTTGAGCAGAATCTACCCTGCCGCTGGCACAGCCCCTGGAGTGATGCTGTTGCTCCTGCAGCTAGACTTTAGGCGTCAGCTGATTCCTCCTCTTCTTGTCTTCATCATTGCATACGCACTTGCTGGATGCCAAACATCAAATGCTTGTCACCCAGACTTGGGAATGGGTCCTTCAAAATCGGCATCCTCATCCCAGTCCTACCTCTCAGTAGCTGTGTGGCCTTAGATAATTTGTGGAACTTCCTTGAGCCACAGTCTTTTTTTTTTTTTTCCTGTAAATTAGAGGCAATGAAGTAATTACTCTTGAGGTTATTATAGCCTCCCGGTAAGAATGTTTAGATAACAGCTCAGTGCCTGATTTAGCTGTGCTGAAATATGTTAGTCATAAAAACGATGTATAACCAATCATGGCTGTCTTCTATTCCATCCAACAGGACTGTCTGTTTTCTACTCCTGCTAATAATAAAACATATATGGCAAAAATATACAATTGTATCTGGTCAAACGAGAAACTATCTTCCTAATCATTGTCCCAAAGTTGTGCTGCTCTCGGGCCCGCTCTGGCGAGCAGCGCTCACAGTGAGGTGGTGACTTCTCTGTTAGGATGGTTTTCCTCCTCCCTTGGGATAGCTCACCAGCGTGTCCTCATTGGTGACTTCTTTTTTATCTGTTCTTTCTCCATAATTCTTCTTTAACCCAGTGGACACATTGCCAAAAATATCAGATCCACACCTCTAATTTCCTCAACAAAAGAGAAGCTTCTTGGTGGCATGTGTAAAAATATGTTATATGGAGGCATATATAATAAAGAGTTAATGCCATCCATCTTCAAATAAAGTGTAAGAAAATGTTCGTGAATTCTCTCCAAATCTCAACTTTAACCATCTAACGGAAGCTTTTATTCTGTAGATTAAAATACTCCATTATATGTTTATATTTTATAAGTATCAAATACCATTATTTTCTGTATTTTTCATTGCAAATATACAATGCATCCAAAATATATCGGCAGTCAAACAATTAAAAATGTTGAGATATTTATATTACTGTGTTTATATTGGATCTTCAAAAATATAGATGGCATTTGATCCCTATAACACTTAGGTGTGACTGAACACATTTCAGATGTACAGAGGTCACGTGGACAAAAGCTTTACTATCTGCCAGCATAGGTCTCAGTTCGCCTCTCACTTGCTGCTTGTTTGTTAGCCTGCTATTCATTCTCTGGCTGGGGAAGCTATTTCTACATAGAGTTTTAAGAAATGGCTAAACTTGTACCACTTAAAACAGGACAGACACAGTCCACAGTAGTTTACTAACCATGTACTGTCACAGCTTAGGCCCAGGACCTGGCATGACACACAGGCCTATGAGGGGGCTAGATTTCAGAAAACAACAAACAGGGGCTGTAGGAGGTGAATGTTGTGTTCCAAGGTGGTGACTCCTAGTTCCCACAGATGGAGGATGTCTGATGCCTGAATACGATGATGTGCTGGAAGGGAAGCAAAGCGACTACCAGGGACCACTGAACACTTCATGATACATCTGATCTGGATGGGTGTGAGCGATGAAATCTGTGCTGGAGAAGAATGAGAAGGAGCCTGAAGTGAAGTCCACTGATATTCTCCTGATTTTACGAGGTGTCTATAAAGTCATAACAGGGAGCCTTAACTTTGTAACTCACCCCAAACTCTGAACACTGTGATATGACAGACTAGCTCCTACCTTCTTATTAACAAAGACATTTAATGGGATCATCAGTTCTCAGTAAACTGTATCCCATACCACTGATGAAATGGGCTTTATAGCTTGAAAATAGAACCGGTCATTCACAATTTTTAAATTTTCAAATATTCCTGTAAACA